AAAAATACTCGGTATCAGCACCGGTATCAGTATTGGTGCATCCCTAGTTTACACCATTCAAATGTCCTACTGCAGCTGGGAGTCTAATTACTATACTGTGCTTGAAGTCTTCTGTAGATATCCATGGGTTTTATGTCTTCTTTCACAAGAAATGTCATCAGCACACACTGTTCTATGCATACACTAACACTGTTGTCTCCCATTTTGAATAACAGTCTCTGGACTGGCCCACTGGCCTATCAGTTCTAAGACACACTTGCCACTCATTACTGTATGTAGTAACGCCATGTCAGCATCCATTTTTATACCTGTAAAATTAAAAGTTCCAGTTTGAGTTCAACACCCCTCGTAGATACAAAGGGGCTGACTTACTGAAAGTGCAAAATCTGGTGCAGCTCTGCATAGAAACCAATCAGCTTCCAGGGTATATTGTCAAAGCTAAATTGAACAACCTGAAGTTAGGAGCTGATTGGCTACCATACATAGCTGCACCATATTCTAAGTGCACCAATTTTAGTAAATCTCCCCCCAAAATGTTTGGTTTTCACATAGTTTCTTAAAACGATCAGCTACAGCATAACTTCTAATGATTACCTCTACAACCCACACTTTCAGTCACTCTGTGGAATCATGATGTTTTTCTCCAAAGTGTCTAGGGACACAAATGCCTTGTTCTATCATTCTGTGGCACTATTCAAAGTGGCTACGAAGGGCCCTAATTGTACACCCTATATATATTAGTAATCCAGTGGGGCATGAGAAAAAATATACTATGAATTTAGTGCAACAGTTGTAGAATGCTGAGAAACTTGAGCAGATACAGGCACTGCTGTTTTTGCCTCCTCCAGGAGAAAACTGCCCTTTGGTCAGAACCTGTTGAGGACCTTGGAACCAGAACTCAAGGACTTTGTACCACAGACAGCCATCACACACTTTGGTGTGCTGTGGGAGTTTTTGCTCAGGAGGACATTGGTGGCACCTGGAGGATGCTGTGTTGCTTCAAGGATGCATTATGAGCTCTGAGGAAGGACCCCCCCCCTTCGATACGCATCAGCTTGACCAAGAGATTATCTCCCTTCCTGATGGGATTTACACATGTCTCCTAACCCAGTGTTTCACTGTTGTTACATGCCTTTTATATTGCTACTCTTGTGAGTATATTTCTTATCAATAAATGTATTAATTGCCTATTGAGGAAATGCGCAAGGTTGGTGCGCTCTGTTTTTTTTTTCTTTATTACATGCCGTATGGTGTGCCAGGAAGTGCCTCATCCATCAGTGGGAGAGGATGTCCTTTGAGGACTGTCACAGACTGGTCCACAGTCTGCTCAGAAACTATAACCTGACGGACTTCAAGTAGGAAGGTTTCCCCTTCCCCTGCTCTCAATTGTGTGTCTTTGTCTTTTCAATAAAGCTTCAGGCCTGTGAACTCTTTATGCCTCCCTCAGTCTTCTTTCTTACCCCCCATCACACCTGTTGCTTTTTTAACTGTTTTTCAAAATGTTTTGGAAATGTTGCATGCTTTGTTTTAGTAGCTGTGCCATGTAGGACATATAGGACAGGGGTCTCACTCAGGCACTGCACATCTGACATTGCACCGATAGGTATCTTGGTGGCACCTTGGGGGCCACACAATCATTTTCAGGGTAAGCAGCATCATGCATGATGTGATGGTTTGGGGAACTTTGCTGTGCCCAACATGTCAGACATCATACCGCTGGGTGATCGTATTTATTGAGTGATTGGAACTGTATTGTAATGTAGTGTATTTATACGTTGCAGTAAAGGGTGAATGTACCATGATAAAGTATCTTGTTTTTTATAAACCTTATATAAAAATAAAGTAAATTTTTTTCAACAACAACAAAAAAATGGTTGTAGAATACTAAGATCTGGTATGTATTATCAATGGGCAAAAAAAAAAAAAAAAGTCTGTCCATGTGTGATGAACTTACAGGTCAAACACTTCTTCATGCTGTACTGGAATGTACCTACAATGTTACCGAACAGAGAGCTACCTCCAAGACAATAATTTTTATTTAGCATTTTCAATTTACTAGGGGCAATTTTGCTCTTAATGTTAGGGGCCTTACAATAGGCAAATTTGATCCTGCATTAGGATGGGCCAATGTTTATTAAAATTTTTTCCATACACATACATACTTATAATGGAATTGTGTGATACATTTTATGCCATAGTGTGTATTATCTTCCAATTCTCTCATGTTGTTTTGTGGTAAAGAATACGCCCTTTGGGCATCCTTCACCAATTCTCTAAGGTAACCTTTATCTAAATTTTTTTGATTAATGTGTTGCTCTCTTCAGTATAATCCTCTACCAACAAGCAATTCTTCCTTAGTCTACCAAACTGGCTTTTGGGTATGTTTGACTTCCACTTGGGATGCTGACAGCTATCTAAATGTGGGTAAGAATTGCTTGAAGTGGTTCTTAGCTGTTATTAAATGGCCCTCAGAGCTCAATTCTAGATCCAAAAAACCACCCAATCAACTGGGATCATAGACATACGTAGATATTACTTTTTATGGCTAATTAAAATGTTTAATATTACTGACATCATTCTGCGCTCTGTGCTTGTGTTTCATGCCTATATGTTGGCTGGGTTTTTTCCAAGATCTGGAATGTAGTTCATGTTGGTGCTCTGTGTAACCCTAATTTGATGACATCTCTTGGCTTATAAAGAGTCATGTCCAAGTTCTGAGCAGTGCGGTCCGGTTCTGCAGATTACAGGCTTATGACTTTTATGAGATCCATTCCTAAACTGCATATGTGTGAACAGGGTAAGATCCTGTGCTAATCCTGTCCTGAACCTGATGTAAACCTGAAGTGAACCTGTGAACAGCTGTTGTATCAATTAGCTGTGAGACCTGAGATTCAATCCACACCGCTCATGTGTAAATCAGCTCTAAGTGACAAGTGTGTCCTATAACTGCGGCGGCGCACACTTCGTGGGTCAGTCCAGAGACTGTTAATCAAGATGGCAGACAACAGTGTTAGTGCATTTATGGGGAAGCGCGTGGTGAAGTTTCTTGTGAATGAAAGCGTAAAACCTGCGGATATCTACAGAAGACTTCAAGCACAGTACGGTGATGAGACGCCCAGCAGCTGTAAGACATTTGAATGGTCTAAACATTTCAAAGAGGGCCGTACATCTATCAGTGCCGATCCAGGGTGTGGTGGTTCCCAGCCCACAGCAGGCATTGCTGTGAACATTCAGTGCATGGAATGCCTGATTCTGGATAATCAACGCATGTTGTGAAATTGCACAAGAGACGAATTTCAGCACTGATGATGAAGTGAAGTAGGCTGTCCTAGGATGGTTCAGGAGTACTGGCAAATCTTTCTACAGTATGCAGAAGCTTTTCGGGCATTAGTAAAACACTGGGATAAGTGTATAAATGTAGCAGGGTATATAAAAAAATAAATGCAGTTTCCACTGCTTGAAATTTGTTCTTTAATTATATAAACTCAAAAGTCCAGGTTTGACTTGAACGCCCCTTGTATAAATTGAACATCCTTTCTCTTGAAGAGTCCACACGTGCCATTGAGGTGCTTTTGTTTATCATCTCTTCAGGATCCATGGTCTTCCTTTCTATTTATTTTTTATTTTGCTATACACAGATACATTGTTTTGGAATGTTTTTACATTTTTGTTACAATTGTTTTATTCACGAGAATACTGTTCTTTCTATTTGTTATTGTTCCATGTACCCTCTACTGACCACATCTAAAATATGTTTTCCGATGCCTATGACTGTCCCTGATGATTTTTGATGTTTCAGTATGTTAAATATATATTTATATATATAATTATCAGGGCCGGTGCCAGTATAAGGCTGCTTAGACAGCCCCCTTAGGTTGCTAGGATAGAGAAGGCGATAAAATCCAAATCCCCAGCCACTTGCTGGGGATTTGGATTCTTCAAAATACCTTCCTCACCTGCCAGCTGCTCGTAACCACTGAGGGGAAGCAGGAATGCATAACCCTGCTCCCTCATTACAAACTGACATTTATTAGTAGTTCAGTACAACTCAAGACTGTTTTCAAGGCTGTTTGATGTCCTGCTGCACCCCATCACATTACAGACACAACATGAAGGAGGTACCAGAGCGGTTGTGAAGTGATGTGGGGAGTGAATAAATCTGCCCCTCATTACACTCAAATGTCCCGGTTTTACTTGAATACCCATCATATATACTGTAAATATATATATACTATTATTGGGACACCCCTTTAAATCATTGGATTCAGGTGTTCCAATCATGGCCACAGGTGTATCAAGCACCTGGGCATGCAGACTGCTTTCACAAAATTTTTTTGGGGGGGCAGCGGGTACCTAGTTTTGACAGTTACACCCTCCCACTTCCGCCTGAATTGCCTAGGCGATCCAAGCAGAAGTTCTCCTCTCACTCTCTCTCCCTGCAGTCTTCTGGGACACATCACAGGTCCCAGAAGACTGCGCCATGGGCACCCGGCTGTGGAGACACAAGCAGTCAAAGCTGGGTGCCCACAGTTGAGATGGCTGTGCCAGGGAGAGAAGGGACAGCCCGGGTGAGCATATTGCTACAGATTTTGTCGCTGCTGATTTTTAATAAACACAAAAATGACTAGAGTTCTGCTTTAATGTGGCGAATAATGTCACCAATCAGAAAATACTTTGTATGTATATACAATCCAGTGTGCTATTGTTAAGTAGAGATGTGTATTATACAAGTATAAAAACACGACACTGTATTTGTATATTTTTTATACATTTACTTAGATTCAGAAGTCCTTTATATACAGTATATTAGTAAATAGTTTACCATTTATTTATCTACACTCAGAATATTTGTAAAGACCATAGTGCACTTTTACATCCAGCAATTTACATTAATGCTAGTCAAAATCATTTCACATTTACATGTTCCTATTGCAGATTTAATTCATTAATGTTCTTGTTTCTTTAGTTTTGGAACATCTTCATATGCATGTATGTCACACCTATTTCTTGCACCTCATTGTGTGTATGGTTTGTTTCATCCATTTAAGGTGTGAAGAGACTTTGGTGTACAAACCAGTAGGTGGTTTGTTATAGTTTCCACCCTGTACAATTCCTTGAAGGTCCGTCCCACAGAATAAAGGACCACCAGAATCACCCTGTATAAACAAAATACTACTGGTTATCATAGAAAAAATATGTAGGAACTGGAATAGAGTTCTAATATTTATTATTAGAGAGTAAAGTAATCAGCTGGTGGCATGTACAGTCTGAATACCAGGTACAGACAGCTTGATTTAAGGACTCCTGCCTGACTAAGATGGCCACACATCAGCAAATCTGGCTTCTTAAAGTGGAACTTGCACCTAAAATGCAAGGTCCACTTTTTAAGTGGGCCTTCAATCCTTGAAAAAGCAGAATAAATATAAAACACACCTATAGGGGAAAAAGTTACACTTTTTTCCTGATCTCTGCTTATTGCATCTAGGCAAAGGTGACATCACCCCCCCCTTTAAGTGAGATTTATACTCCGACTCTTGGTGAGGGGGGGGGGTGCAAAGTGATTTGGCTGTAAAATGACTATTTTTTGTTGGCAAAATTTGTCCAGAGCAGAAACTGTCCATTTTGCACATTGTCCATGAGCTGTTAGGCCTGGTTCACACCTATGCATGTTGCAATTTGCTGTGGGAAAGAAATGCCCTGACCCTATGTGGCTAAACACACATAGATGTGAACGCGTCCCATTGGAAATTATGTTAAATGGGGTTTCTGCAAAATGCAAAAAAGCACAAAAAATGCATAGGTGTGAAACAGGCCTGAAGGAGAAAATTGCTTGAAAAAACATCTACATTGTTTTTAATTTAATTAGAGTGTAATTTACAGAAAGTCTATTGATAATGGTTCTGGAATTTACGGAATGGGGTCAGGTGCATGGAACTAAAAGTATATCATCTTCATTGTCTAGCAGCTAGCTAATGGCTACACAGATGATAACCTTATGTGTGCAATATTTGTGTAAATATTCTCAGAACCATTAAATAGGCAGATATACTTTCTGGCTAATGTGTATTTATTCATATCAGTGTTCAATGATGTGCCTTTCCAGGCCACTTTTTCTAGGAGACAGCCTGTGATGACATATCTTTGTGGCTGCACAGCTCCATAATCCTCCAATAATTTAAAAAAGAGTATTATAATTTAGTAATGTAAGGTATTACTGTGGTACAATTTGCTAAAAGCATTGCACCTTAAGATCTGCACAAGAAATTAATCTGAAAATTGTGAAACAAAAATGTTCTGTTGTTGACCTAAAATCTTGCATCTTTAACCACTTGCCCTCCAGAAAATTTCCCCCCTTCCTGACCAGGCCATTGTTTGCTTTACGGCGCTGCGTTATCTTAACTGACAATTGCGTGGTCATGCAATGCCACGCCTAGATTAAATTTACAGCCTTTTATTCCCACTAATTGAGCTTTCTGTCGGTGGTATTTGATTGCCTGTGTGTTTTTTATTTTTTGTGCTATAAGCAAAAAGAGACCAACAATTTTGAGACAAATAACAATATTCTGGACTTTTTGCTATTAAACATGTCCAGTAAAAAAAAAAAAAAAAAAATCAAATTTCGTCATAAATGTAGGCCAAAATGTATTCTGCTACATGTCTTTGCTAAAAAAAAATCCCAATACGTGTAAATTAATTGGGTACGTGAAAGTTATAGCGTTTACAAATGGCAGTATAGATACTGGGATTTTTTTTTCCTACTTATAATCAGTGAATTTTAGTGGGACTGTGGCGCGCATTCTGACACTGGGGGGAACTAACTTGGTGTCACTGACATCCCCAGTGACACCAATACAGTGATCAGTGCTAAAAAACAGCACTGACACTGTACTCATGACACTGGGCAGGAAAGGGTTAATGTGAGGGGCAATCACAGGATTAACTGTGTGTAGGGAGTGTTTTACTAGGGGGCGGGGTGTGTGTGCTTCACTGTAAGCACATTGATTGGGATGGCTGTGCTGTGCACAGCCATCCTGAGCAGTGTGCCCGAGCTGACAGGGAGGAAGACTGTTTGTAAACAAAACAGTCTTCCTCCACATCAGTGACTGTCGGTAATCACTGGGCACCAGCAAGTAATCACTGCCCATGACCCAATGATTGACATCCGAGGCAGCGAATGGCGGTGTGGGTAGGGCACGCACGTGGCTCATGTGCGCCCCCTACCCGGAGATGCAAAATCACGTATATATACGTGATTTTGCGCACCTGTGCCTGTGTGTATATCTATAGTATATCTGCTATATGGCGACGGGTAAGCGGTTAAAGAGTATTTCTACTTTTACAATCAAATTTGAGAAAACTCCACTATATGTTTACCATGTGTTCCCATTCACACAGCATGCCTACAAAAAAAAATTAATACATTTCCTAACTTTTAGATGTTTTTGCAGAAGTTGTCATGGCTGATTTCAAGGATTCATGAATGACAGAGTGAGCCTGTCCTAAGGACAGGCCGAGTCTTCTCCCAATAACATACAATACAAAGAGTGTCTAAACTGTACATTTTTGTTAGGACAGACTTTTCCCTGCTCTTGTTCAAATGTCCCCCTCTTATCTCCTGATAAGACAGACTGAACCCATAGCCACATGCACATGCTCAGTTTAGTGTGTATTGCTAGAGAGTTTTTTTTTTCTTGGGAGAGTGCATGTGATCAGCACAGGGCCAATCAGCACTGTCCAGACAGAGGTCAGGGGTTTTGCATCCTTTTAGAGCAGAAAAAAAACTTCTCCTACAAGCTCTAACCAGTGCTCTGCTAGACACTGATAGAAGTCACAAGACTGCTCTAACTGCTGATGAGAAAAGGTATTTAGCAGTTTATATTTACTAAAATAATTGCATTTCCATGTTCTCTGTACTGTGGGAGACCAGATGTAGTGAATGCAGGGTCCTGGGTTTAGTAACACTTTAATATCACTTTAAGTCTTTGTATGCAGGCACTATTCAGTAAAGAGTTTGTATCCCTAAGGCTGAACTCCAGCCTTACTTTTAGTCTTGCACAGGCTCCTCTCCTATACTGAAATTACTTACTCTGTTTTCATTGCACACCATGAACTTTATGTGAGCAAGTTGGATAGAGCCCACCTGTTTTCCTGGCTGGAGGACATCCAGCATCTTCTATGTTTTTTCTTCACAGCTTTACTGTCCCTGGCCTGCCCGGTTCATTTGTTGGATTTTTAGTTCTTTCAATCATGAAGGGTCAATGTCGCATGTGGGTGTTACCTAGCGCAGCCTGCATGCGAATATAGCTTGCTGAGAAACTCAGACTCCTCCTGACTGACATTCACCAGTCAGAGCATTTTGATATTTGCAAATCTCCTCCCTAGTGCCAGCCCACTGCTTGCATCAGGGCTGAAGGCTCTTGGGAGGCGTGGTGGCAGGAGGAGGGTGCTGTGAGGTTTTCAGAAAGCAATGTACAACACCCTGCCAACCCCTCCCATGAGTCATGATTTTCCTGTATTCCACAGAAAAGCACATAGTACATTGCTGGGAGCTGTGGGGAAGTAGGAAACAGGGAAGGTAAAATATAATACTCACATTATATGCATACTTGTTTTCCTGTGGGTCTCCAGCACAGATAAAGTTCTTCAAATTAATGTTTGGGAATGTCTCAGAACAGATTTTTTCTGAAACCACTTTTAGATCAACTTTTTTTAGTGTTGGAGACTCATCTTTGTTATACTCTTTAATTCTGCCCCAACCTGCTACAGAGCACACACTCCCAGGTTTCACCTTCCCTCCGCTGTGGTTAATGGGCAGTGGTAATACATAACGGTTTAACACTGCTTTTTCTCTGAGCTGCAACACAAGTATACAAAGGTGAAAATAAACAAATTAAATATTACATGAATTAATTAGCACGAGCAGATCAAGAACAAAACAATCTTAAAAATAGGGTTGTTATAATTATCAGTGACTCTGACTGTACTGAAGTTAAACTTATCATTATAATAGAAAGACTGTTTAGTAGATGCCCTATGCACACAGAGCCCTACTAATAGTGCATGTTTGGGTGCCTCTCACCCCTGTCTTCCAGAGTGTTTTTCTCTGCCTGAGCAGGCAATTCCCAGACTCAAGCACTATCATCATAAGGGGGAAGAGGAAGGTATACATAGCCCTGAGCAAAATATATATATATATATATATATATATATATATATATATATATATGCACAGTATCTCACACCCCTCACATTTTTTTTTTTATATTTTATTATATCTTTTTATGTGACAACACTAAAGAAATTACACTTTGCTACAATATAAAGTAGTGAGTATACAGCTTGTATAACAGTGTAAATTTGCTGTCCTATCAAATAACTCAACACACAGCTATTGATGTCTAAATGCTGGCAACAAAAGTGAGTACACCCCTAAGTGAAAATGTCCAAATTGGGCTCAATTAGCCATTTTTCCTCCCCGATGTCATGTGACTCGTTAGTGTTACAAGGTCTCAGGTGTGAATGGGGAGCAGGTGTGTTAAATTTGGTGTTATCGCTCTCACTCTCTCATACTGGTCAATGAAAGTTCAACATGGCACCTCATGGCAAAGAACTCTCTGAGGATCTAAAAAAAAAAAAGAATTGTTGCTCTACATAAAGATGGCCTAGGCTATAAGAGCTGCAGTACGGTGGCCAAGACCATACACCGTTTACCAGGACAGGTTCCACTCAGAACAGGCCTTGCCATGGATGACCAAAGAAGTAGAGTGTATGTGCTCAGTGTCATATCCAGAGGTTGTCTTTGGGAAATAGATGTATGAGTGCTGCCAGCATTGCTGCAGAGGTTGAAGGGGTGGGGGGGCAGCCTGTCAGTGCTCAGACCATACTCCACACACTGCATCAAATTGGTCTGCATGGCTGTTGTCCCAGAAGGAAGCCTCTTCTAAAGATGATGCACAAGAAAGCCTGCAAACCGTTTGTTGAAGACAAGCAGACTAAGGACATGGATTACTGGAACCATGTCCTGTGATCTGATGAGACCAAGATAAACCTATTTTGGTTCAGATGGTGTCAAGCGTGTGTGGCGGCAACCAGGTAAGGAGTACAAAGACAAGTGTGTCTTGCCTACAGTCAAGCATGGTGGTGGGAGTGTCATGGTCTGGGGCTGCATGAGTGCTGCCGGCACTGGGGAGCTACAGTTCTCTGAGGGAACCATGAATGCCAACATGTACTGTGACATACTGAAGCAGATCATGGTCCCCTCCTTTGGAGACTGGGCCGCAGGGCAGTATTCCAACATGATAACAACCCCAAACACACCTCCAAGACGACCACTTCCTTGCTAAAGAAGCTGAGGGTAAAGGTTGATGGACTGGCCAAGCATGTCTCCAGATCTAAACCCTATTGAGCATCTGTGGGGCATCCTCAAATGGCTGTGTCTAACCTGCTCAGTGCATCCACGTGAGAGCTAACAAACTCATTGACTATCTCTACACAAATGCTAATTGCAATTTAAAAAGTCACAGATGTAGGAAATTAACCTTTAATTGCCATTTTAACCTGTGTATGTCACCTTTTGTGTCTGTAACAGGCCAAACATTCCAGAAAACATAAACTTTTAATCAGAGGCATTTAGGTGATTTGTTTTGTTATTATTGTGATTCAAAAAGGAGCCAAACAACTATGTGATAATAAATGGCTTCTGTGCAGCTTTAACTATCCATGAAACCATGTTAACCAAAACATTTCAACATAGCTGGATAACAATGCCACATTTTCTCTTACCTTTAACAACATGATGTCATTGCCAGGCTTTTTGTGTTGTTGGTGTGGGACACTTTTACAAACTTTTATTACCTGCCAGGAATTTTCTTTAGATTTAATATTATGAGCTCCCAATATTACTTGCATATTTCTGTAAAGCAAAACACAAACAAATACTTGTGTAACCAAAAGAAAAGAGATATGTAAGATGGATCTTTACACCCGTGGGAGACTAGAGCAGACATGGTGGATGTTGACCTTTGAAAAGCTAATAAGAAAAATTAGGAAACCTGTCCATAACACTATGCCCCCCCCCCCCTTCCTTTACCAGTAAGATGTCACAATATTCTTTCTTTCCACTTATTCTACTTGTATTTCCTACCACTATTCATTCACAGAAATGTAAAAAGTCAGCTGTGACAATTGTATAAGTGTATGTCTATGTGCCTCTGTATGTCACCAATGGGCCTTTGTGTAAGAGACTCATTTTTAAGAGTTCTCCGACAAGTCAGACAGATGCAGATGAAGAACAGCTTTTGGAATACCATGGAACATTCTAATGGTCCAGCTGCTGTAAAACAGTAAACTTCCCTTCACCTCCAACCAGTAAATAGTCAAGAAGAGATGCACAAAACTTTCTGCATATCAGGCAGGGCATGAAGGAGGTGCTCTTTGCCCAACAGCACGTGCATATTGCAGTTAGAAGGAGCAAATAGGGGGCATCATGAAGAAGGCCCGTCTATAATCTTCCCATCTATTAGGTGTTCTTGAAAGGAATAATGTTCAGTCTATGTGATAGCAGGAGGAGTCCTAGCACCTGCTTGAATGTCTAGTATAGGGTTTTTTAAAGAGGATTCCCTGGGACCCTAAGGTCCCTCCAAATGTTGCTATGGGCTCCTTCAACAATTAGCATTTCTGCCTCTCAGATAAGTTCCCACTGACATCATTGACCTTTTAGCTATCTGTAAAAGGGTAATTCTTCCCAGTGACCACAAGTGTAAGGAGCATCCTTTCCACTGACCATCTCACTAATGTATCATGAGTTGTAGATATAGTCATTTTTTAGCAGGGGCTTCCTGAGACCAGAAAGTTATTTCAGGGGTTCTTCTGTGTTGAAAATTTTTGATAAAGGCATGTATGGCCTCTAATGGTGGCCATATATGCTTTGATTGTATTATCTGATTGCTGTGTAAGTCAATCAAAATGAATGAATCAACAAACACTTGAATAGGTCTAATTTTTCTTTTCATTAATTTAGACTTCAGATAGAATTCAATTAAACTGAGTGGACCAGTCAGGGTTATCGATCGTGCTTCAATGAGCTCTAAGATGCTTTCTTCATGCATTAAATACATTTTTTAATCAGATTAGGGGATTGCATGGGAAAAAGAGATGTGATCGATAACTTACGATTCTATCCTCTAATTATTAATTATCCACATCCCCGTGTGTGTCATATAAATCTGATTGGTTGTCGACTTTAGATCCATTATTGCTATTAGGAGAGATCGACTGAAACAGAAGTTGATTCTTTATCAAAGTGTGAATGGCCACCATAAGTTTTAGAGGACCCAGATGTACAGTTTACACAAAACAAAGCAATGCAGTCACACAGGGCTGCACCCATGTCGTGACAGAAGCTAAATGGCATGTCACATTTAGCAGGTGGTACTGCTGCTGAATGAGACCCAAGCAAGGGATGGAGCCATGCTGAAACCTTCCTGCAGCTGCATGCAGTGCGCACAGTTGCAGCATGGTGGTGCAGCATTTTAAGAATAAAGTAGGCGTCGAGGAGACGACTTGTCACTATGTTAGCCGCATGCAGGAACAAGCTCTAAGAGATCAAATTATTATTAAAATAATATTATTAAAACATTAAATAGAGTTTCTATTTTTTTTTGTTATTATTGATTAATGAAATATCAATAACTACAGTGTATTATTTTCTTTACAGGTAAATAAACAACATTTGAAAAAAGTTGAAATGTAGATATAATAGTGCAGATCTCAACTTGACGCTTCGCTCTGAATTGTATATTTTATAGCGGTATCTCTGATTGATGCATATATACTGTATTTAGACCTAATTCACTATTTTCTGTGAAAAAATACCATGAATACTATTTTCTAGCATGCTGTAAAACGTCTGTCTGCACATAATCTGAATTGGCCCTTACTAAAACTGGAGAGTACAAAATCTTGTGCAGCTCTGCATAGAAACCTATCAGTTTCCAGGTTTTATTGTCAAAGCTTAATTGAACAAGCTGAAGTTAGATGCTGATTGGCTACCGTGTACAGCAGCACCAGATTATGAGTGCTCCAGTTTTAGTAAATCCCCCCCTTTTGTCTTTTGTATCTTTATACTGATTGTAATTCTGTACATATGCAAATCTCAATAAAAAAAATCATAGTTAAAAAAAAATGTAGATACAACAAGAATATATTAAGTTTTACTGTTTTAAAGTGTTACAGAACCCAGGACCTGCATTCACTATATCTGGTCTCCCACAGTACACAGAACATGGAGGTGCAATTATTTTAGTAAATATAAACTGCTAAATACTTTTTCTCATCAGCAGTCTTGTGACTTTTATCAGTGTTCAGCAGAGCACTTGTTAAAGCTTGCAGGAAGAGTTTCCATTCTGCTCTAGGAGGATGCAGGACTTCCTGACCTCTGCTTGGACAGTGCTGATTGGCCCTGTGCTGATCATGTGCACTCTTCCAAGAAAAAAAAAAAACCTCTCTAGCAATACACACCAAACTGAGCATGTGCAGAGTGTCTGCACATGATATGTCTTATCAGGAGATAAGAGGGGGACACTGGAAGAAGTGGAGGATCAGAGAAGTAAGGATTAAACAGCGTTTTTACACAATGCAGAGGATTAACCCCTTAGGTTCCATAGTGAGTATAACAAGCTTGCTTTATTATTTATTTTATTTTATTATTTTATTTCAGGTACTTATATAGTGCCGTCAATTTATATCAGCGCTTTACATATATATTATACCTTCACATCAGTCCCTAACCCTCAAGGGGTGCACAATTTAAGGTCCCTAACTCACATTCATAAATACACATACTAGGGCCAATTTAGACAGTATCCAATTCACCTACCAGCATGTCTTTGGAGTATAGGAGGAAACGAGAGTATCCAGAGGAAACCTATGCAGGCACAGGGAGAACATGCAAACTCCAGTCAGGGATTTGAACCAACGACCCTAATACTGCCAGGCGGCATTGCTAACCATTTAGTGCATATACAGACTGATTTTACTGTTGTGGGTTTAGTAACACTTTAAGTGTTAAAATTTCAACAATAATTTTAGTGATTGGCTATCCTACAGTGTATCTTTACTATAAAAAATCTTGTGGCACAGATAAGTCTCAAAATCTATGTTTGCTGTTTGCTATGACATATATAAAAGCATGCTAATGTACCTTTCCTGGTTATTTTTTTGTATATGTCTACTAATCTATTTTCTCTTTAACCATTTCCCGTCCGGCCGTTGTATATAAACGGCTGGACGGTGGCAGTGCAGGGTCGGGTGGCCATGTATAAACGACCTCCCCGCACCCTGCTTGTGTACGCTCCCTGGGAGCGCACAGCACCGCAATCCGGTGCCCGCTGTGTCCTCCGGACACAGTGAAACACAGATCGTCAGACAGGACCTCTGTGCGAGGTCCCAATCATGTGATCACTGATTGGTTAATCAGTGATCACATGCAATGTAGTAAGCAAGATGTCACTTCTGACATCATTGCTTACTACATGTGAAATCTGTGAATGATCACAGAGGTCACATGGTACAAGGCTATTCACAACAGCCTTGTACCATGTGACAAGCTGTGACCAATCACAGCTCACACAGTAGTTCTCACTGGCTGCAAGAATGCAGCTAGAGAGAAGGAAAAATGATTGCTTTTACAGCCTTTATGGGTGTAAAAGCAATCAGTGTAAAAAAAAAAAAAATCTTCATCACCCCCCACAAGTAGTACAGTGTCACCATGGTGACACTGTACTGCTAGGGTGACAGTATGTAAAAAAAACCCCCCATAAATAATATAAAAAAATAAAAAATAAATGTAAAAAAAAAGTTTAAAAATTATAATTTTTGGTTATAAATTAATTTGGGTTATTTTTTTTTTACTAAAAAGATAACGAAATACATTTTGGCCAAAATTTATGATGAAATACTATTTATTTGCAAAATAAACACTTTTTTTTCAAAATTTTTGGACTTTTTCATTTACATAGCAAAAAAAATAAAAAAAACCCAGTGGTGAATAAATACCACGAAAATAAAGATTTATCTGTCTCAAAAAATGCTAAAAAAATTCATATGGGTACAGTGTTGCATAACCGCGTAATTGTCATTCAAAGTGTGATAGCACTGAAAGCTGAAAATGGGCCTGGACAGGAAGGGGGTAAAAGTGTTCAGACTTGAAGTGGTTAAAGAGTACAGTTAGATCCATGTATAAAGTACAGTTCCTTGGTTTGTCCTGTATACACAGCTATGTACTGTACATGAGCACCTAATGAAATGAATGTTGCCATACATACGTGCCATTGCAGTGAGCTGCTGTCAAAACAACGTCTTCACTTATCAGGATCCCTCCACATCTTTTATATGTATTTCCTGTTATGTCAAACTTCAGAAATGTCATATAGGGCATGGAATGAGGACTGGCATCTTCTCCACCGATAATTTCATCTAGTTTTGGTAAATATAACAACATCATTTAATCAAGATTAATTGGCTAGTAGAAATTCACATCGGAATTAAAAAGCAAGAGTCTCAAAGGCAGGTACTATTACACAACACTTACCACCATTACATGTTACAAAAACTGAAATCAAAATAAGAATCTCCTTACAGCAAAACTTTATTTCATGGAGCTCATCATGTCAGAGAGCTGAGTGGAGGGAAGAGACACACACCCTGTACACAGGCCCATAGAGAAACATAGAGCTGAGGGTATGGGTCACCTGTTGTGTGCTGAAGGGGGGCTCATCGGGATGCTGTGGAGTCAGATTTTGTTGGCAGGGCCAGGTGATTGGTGCCCAAGTTGGAAGAATGGCAGACAGGGGGCTATTTACTGAAGAGTGCAAAATTTCTGCATATAAACCAATCAGCTTCCAAGTTTTATCAAAGCTAAAGTGTTACTAAACCCAGGACCCTGCATTCACTATATCTGGTCTCCCACAGTACACAGAACATGGAGGTGCAATTATTTTAGTAAATATAAAACTGCTAAATACTTTTTCTCATCAGCAGTCTTGTGACTTCTATCAGTGTTCAGCAGAGCACATGTTAAAGATTGCAGGAGGAGTTTCCATTCTGCTCTAGGAGGATGCAGGATTCCTGACCTCTGTTTGGAATCTGTTCTGAGACATTCCCAAACATTAATTTGAAGAACTTTATCTGTGCTGGAGACCCACAGGAAAACAAGTATGCATATAATGTGAGTATTATATTTTACCTTCCCTGTTTCCTACTTCCCCACAGCTCCCAGCAATGTACTATGTGCTTCTCTGTGGAATACAGGAAAATCATGACTCATGGGAGGGGTTGGCAGGGTGTTGTACATTGCTTTCTGAAAACCTCACAGCACCCTCCTCCTGCCACCACGCCTCCCAAGAGCCTTCAGCCCTGATGCAAGCAGTGGCACTAGGGAGGAGATTTGCAAATATCAAAATGCTCTGACTGGTGAATGTCAGTCAGGAGGAGTCTGAGTTTCTCAGCAAGTTATATTCGCATGCAGGCTGTGCTAGGTAACACCCACATGCGACATTGACCCTTCATGATTGAAAGAACTAAAATCCAACAAATGAACCGGGCAGGCCAGGGACAGTAAAGCTGTGAAGGAAAAACATAGAAGATGCTGGATGTCCTCCAGCCAGGAAAAGAGGTGGGCTCTATCCAACTTGCTCATATAAAGTTCATGGTGTGCAATGAAAACAGAGTAAGTAATTTCAGTATAGGAGAGGAGCCTGTGCAAGACTAAAAGTAAGGCTGGAGTTCAGCCTTAGGGATACAAACTCTTTACTGAATAGTGCCTGCATACAAAGACTTAAAGTGATATTAAAGTGTTACTAAACCCAGGACCCTGCATTCACTACATCTGGTCTCCCACAGTACAGAGAACATGGAAATGCAATTATTTTAGTAAATATAAACTGCTAAATACCTTTTCTCATCAGCAGTTAGAGCAGTCTTGTGACTTCTATCAGTGTCTAGCAGAGCACTGGTTAGAGCTTGTAGGAGAAGTTTTTTTTTCTGCTCTAAAAGGATGCAAAACCCCTGACCTCTGTCTGGACAGTGCTGATTGGCCCTGTGCTGATCACATGCACTCTTCCAAGAGAGAAAAAAAACCCCCATCTCTAGCAATACACACTAAACTGAGCATGTGCAGAGTGTCTGCACACGATATGTCTTATCAGGAGATAAGATGGGGACACTGGAAGAAGGTGAGGATCAGAGAAGACAGGAGAGTGCAAAATCTCTGCATAGAAACCAATCAGCTTCCAAGTTTTATCATCAAAGCTAAAAAGGGTTACTAAACCCCGGACCCTGCATTCACTATATGTGGTCTCCCACAGTACACACAACATGGAAATGCAATTATTGTAGTAAATATAAACCACTAAATACCTTTTCCCATCAGAAGTTAGAGCAGCCTTGTGACCTCTATCTGTGTCCAGCCCAGCACTAGCTAAATCTTGTAAGAGTTTTCTTTCTGCTCTAGGATGCAAATCCCCTGACCTCTGTCTGGACAGTGCTGATTGGCCCTGTTCTGATCACATACACTCTCCCAAGAACAAAAAAAAAAAAAAAAAAACCTCTCTAGCAATACACACCAAACTGAGCATGTGCATACCTACGGTTTAGTCTGGAGATAAGAAGTGGTCACTTGAAAAAGGGAGGAACAGAGAAGAAAGGATCAAATGGCCTTTTTACACAATACAGAGGATTAACCCCTTAGGTACCACAGTGAGTATAACAAGCATGCTTTACTGCATATACAGACTGATTTTACTGTTGTGGGTTTAGTAACACTTTAACCACGTCCTGTCCGGACACTTTTACCCCCTTCCTGTCCAGGGCAATTTTCAGCTTTCAGCGCTATCACACTTTGAATGACAATTGTGCGGTCATGCAATACTGTACCCATATGAATTTTCTACCATTTTTTTTACACAGATAAAGCTTTATTTTGGTGGTATTTATTCACCGCTGGGATTTTAATTTTTTTTACTATGTAAATGAAAAAGTCAAAAAATTTTGAAAAAAAGTGTTTTTTTTAAATAAAATTTTGCAAATAAATAATATTTCATCATAAGTCTTGGCCAAAATGTATTCTGTTATTTTTTTAGTAAAAAAAAAAAAATCCAAATTAGTTTATAACCAAAAATTATAATTTTTAAACATTTTTTTTTACATTTTTATTTTATTTTTTTATATTATTATTATTATTTTTTTTTTTACCATGCTGTCACCCTAGCAGTGTGAGGGGTGATGAAGATTTTTTTTTTTTTTTTTTTACACTGATTGCTTTTACACCCATATAGGATGTAAAAGCAATCATTTCTCTTTCTCTCTGTCTGCATTCTTGCAGTCATTGAGAAATACTGAGTGAGCTGTGATTGGTCACAGCTTGTCACATGGTACAAGGCTGTTGTGAATAGCCTTGTACCATGTGACCTCTGTGATCATTCACAGATTTCACACGTAGTAAGCAATGATGTCACAAGTGACATCTTGCTTACTACTTTGCATGTGATCACTGATTGGCCAATCAGTGATCACATGATCGGGACCTCGTACAGAGGTCCCATCCGACGATCGGTGTTTCACTGTGTCCGGAGGACACATCGGGCACCGGATCGCAGTGGCGCGCGCTCCCTAGAAAAGGGGGTGCCGTTTAGGAACGGCAACCCGCCCCTGGACTGCCACCGCCCTGCCGTTTATAAACAGCAGGCGGACGGCAAGAGGTTAAATGAACAGGCTGAGGATAGAAGCTGATTGGTTACTGTGCACAGCTGTACAATATTTTGCTCTCTCAGGTTTTAGTGACACAATAACACTGGCAACACAGGTGCAGTAGTTCTCAGCAATGTTAGTGACACAATGGCAGATATCCAGCAGCAAGGTTGTCACTTTGGTAAGGCTTATGTTACCAGAGCAGTATCTGCGTAGAGGGGGGCTGTGCAAGAACAGTGCAAGTCACAGGACTGGAGACCAGGAAATAGAGAAGACAGAGGTGTTCCTAGTATGTTCCTCCTCTCCGGGAACCTTTCCCTAGGGCAGGGGTGGGCAAACTGCGGCTCTCCAGCTGTTGCAGGACTACAAGTTCCATCATGCCTCTGCAGGTCATAGCTGTAACTGTCAGTTTTGTAATGTTGCAATGCCTCATGGGAAATGTAGTTTCACAACAGCTGGAGAGCCGCAGTTTCCCACCCCTGGCCCTAGGGCTAATATGCTGTCCCTACTCACTGCAGTACATGTCCTGCGCATGTACCACATCGCAAATGCGTGCCAAGTACAATGGGCACTGCTGTATATTAGCATTGCCCACACTACCAGCACTTGCACTGCTCCTCTGGTGACACCTACAGAGGCTGCAGAGGAACAATGTTCCTCTCATCCTCCACTCCTCCTGTCAGCAACACAGCGCCACCTACATAGGGGAGGGTAAACTGCACCTGCCTGCAGGCTTAACCTCTTAGGAGTGTGTCATGCAGATATTAGAGTAATGAGAGAGCAGAGAGAAATGACGGTTTGTGCTTTGGATTGAGGCAAGTGCACACTATAGAGGAATTTGTCTCGTTAACTTTTCATGTTGGATATTTACAACCACTTTATAGCTGAAGTGCAGCTTTACCTCCAGCCTTGCACATGTAGAACCTGCCTAGATAGGTGCTAGTAGTAGACAGTCTTAGTTCTCACCTGTAACCTGTTAGGAGTGTGTCATGCAGATAGCAGGGTAATGAGAGAGCAGAGAGAAATTACGGTTTTGGCTTTGGATTGAGGCAAATAAACACTATAGAGAGATGTGCTTTGTACATTTTGCATGTGGAAGTTTGTAAGCACTTTAAAGCTGAAGTCCGAAAACTGAAAAATATTTGACAGCTTATTAGTTCTTAGATGTGGTGGTTGTAGTAGGTTTTTGTCAGGCATTTCTCCTTTATTTTCATTTGGTGATCCTGCCAGTAGTACATTTCCTGGTCATAGGGGAATTACATTCACTCAGTCATCAAACACCCCCACCCCCTCCTTGTCTCCTCATCTTCATTACCTAGAGGAATGTTGTTTTGTAGTTCACACAAGAAAGCTAAGAAAGCTGATCACATTGTTTGATAATTCAGTCCAGTGTAAATTACAAGGACACAACAACATTTTTGGCAGGATCAATAAATATTATTGTGCACTTGTATTCAAAATTATTAACCCTTTGAGGACCAAGGGATGTATTTGTCCCATGTTTTTAATTGCGTGTAACATCTGATTAAGAACTTAAAACTCTTTTTTTTTTTTTTGGTTTGAGTCAAAATATTAGTTCTTATCAACAAACAACAAATGGATCTAGCTTTTTGCCAATTATTTCATGAAATGGCTTAGTTACAACAACTGAAGTGTACGAACTTTAAAAACAAAAAAATTTATTCTTTTGGTGTTCCAAAATCTTACGGTCCTCAAAGGGTTAACCTAAGATTTGTTCATATTTATTTTTAAAAGAAA